ATGTTGAAGACCCGTGATGGATCCATGTCAACAAGTGACATGGAATGAGCAAGCTGGTGAAAGAACTCCACCACGGTATCGTTGTCGACACCGTTTCGCGGTTTACTCAGAGTTCGTGCTTTCGCAATCTTAAGATCTTGATTGCGTTCGAGGAATCTTTTGTACCAACCGCTCGTAAGCTTGGTGTCACGTGGTGCATCATGTACCACTTGAAGTATCTCGGTTGCCTTGTCGACGATCTGACGACAGCCAACGGGTACCCCTTCGTGTTCCATTGCGACAATCCAAGTAGCCAAGTCGTCTTCGAACTCCTTCGGCAGGACAGGCGGCCTGCCCATCGCCGTCGGTCGGTTGTCGCCCGTGATTGCCTTGGCGACATGGGTGCGTAGTGTACGTTGGGGTATACCATGTGCCTCGGCAGCGGTCAAAAGATTGTGTGTCTTGTTGAGCACAGCTCGGACAGCCACGTCCATCGCCTCCTGCGTGTAGGACGTTCTTGGCGTCATTTCAAATTCAAAGCTGAAAACCTCTTTAAAATTGAATTTTTTGCCTTCATCACATTATAAAGGTAAAACTTATCACAAGGATTTATTTTGTCCAATGAAATATCGTATTAATTTCAATTGGACGAAACACCTTGGCCGGTCGATGGTCATTTGGCCGATCAATGGTCGATCACGTTAGTAGAATTAGCCACATACTAAGAGCATCTGCACCGGTACCAGCAGTTCTCAGATCCCGATAATTTTATTGGGCGATTTACTGGAATTCCAAAAAAATCGTTCGCACCGGTACCAATAGCCAGTAAAAATGTTACTGGACTCCACTACTCCAAAAAATATTCCAGTAAATTTGTTGGAATTTTTGTTGGAGTACTGTACTCCAGTAAGTCAACTGACCAATCATATTCATCTACGACTCCATCGATTCGTGGCTTTGTTTCCCTTTCCAAGCAAAACAAGGAATGAAGGAACTCTTCCGGAACTTAACCCCACATGAGAAGGTGCAGCTGTGTCACGCATGGCTGATTGCCTCCCTCGATCCTATCGTCGGAAACATCAAACTGCAAGTCATTTCTACACCCGAGTAGCTGCAGCCTACAACAGTAGTCCTGAATGCACACAGAGGTATAGTGCATGATAAGCTAATTTGCTACTGGTA